GATAGTGAATATAATATAGTCATAGGGTTCAATGAGCCAGCAAATCATACTAGGAAACAGTCAACCTAAATCATAAGGATACAAGCTACAAGGTTACAATCATACAGTCACAAGTGGGAGGGGATGGGTGAAAGGAAGGATGGGAGGATTAATAGTAATAGTAATGCAGATTTTGTAAATAGTTGTCATGTTGAGGGAATTATTTGTTTAGCAGAGTGATGGCGTTTGGGAAAAAAACAGTCCTTGTATCTAGTTGTTCTGATGCGCAGTGCTCTATAGCATCGTTTTGAGGGGAAGGAGTTGAAACAATTTATGTCCGGGATGTGAGGGCTCTGTAAATATTTTCACAGCCCTCTTTTTGACTCGTGCAGTATACAGGTCCTCCATGGAAGGCAGGTTGGTAGCAATTGGTTTTTCTGCAGTCCTAATTATCCTCTGAAGTCTGTGTCTGTCCTGTTGGGTTGCAGAACCAAACCAGACAGTTATAGAGGTGCAGATGACAGATTCAATCATTCTTCCATAGAACTGTATCAGCAGCTCCTTGGGCAGTTTGAGGTTTCTGAGTTGGTGCGGAAAGAACATTCTTTGTTGTGCTTTTTTGATGACGTTTTTGATGTTAGGTGTCCATTTTAGGTCTTGTGATATGATAGAACCTAGAAACTTGAAGGTCTCTCCTGTTGATACTGTGTTGTCTAGTATTGTCAGAGGTGGTCTTATGGGAGGGTTTCTCCTAAAGTCGACCACCCTTTCTACAGTTTTGAGTGTGTTCAATCCCAGATTGTTCCTGTTGCAGCAGGTTTTACAACCTCCTATCTGTATCCAGATTCGTCGTTGCCTCGAATGAGACCAATCAGAGTCTAGTTCTCGACTTACGGCCAGAATTGAGCCTCAAATTTCTCTCGCTACGTGAAACCATTGGATGAACTTTCTTGCCCCTGTTGTTAAGTGAATTCCTGCAGTTATTCAGCAAGTCACCAGCTGTTAAGTGGATCCAGCTTCCCCATTGACTTTGCTCATCAGAAGGTTGCAAAGGGGAATAACACGACCACCGCCGCCAGGACACAGTGAATTTATATTGCCACCTACTCACCCCTGGCGACTCGAGGCGGCTTACAGAAGGTAAAACCATATTTAAAATAAAAAATAAAAGCAACAAAAACTAACAAAAATAATCAAATAAGTGGGACTTATCTCTGGGGTGGATGAGTCTGCCTACCGAGGTGGACTGGTTGCTTTCGTGGTGTGGAGACAATAACCTGGTCCTCAACACCAATAAGACCAAGGAGCTTATAGTAGATTATAGAAGGAACAGATCAGACATCTAGCCCTTGCTTATCAATGGAGACCGAGTGGAGCAAGTGGCCAGTTTGAAGTTTCTGGGTGTTACCCTAAAAGAGGACCTGACCTGGGGGGATCACATTGCAGCCCTGGTCAAAAGGGCCCAGCAGAGATTACACTACCTGAGGCTTCTCAGGAAACAACAACTGAATGAAAAACTGCTGGTGACCTTCTACCGCTGCACCATAGAGAGTATCTTAACTTATTGCACCTCTGTATGGTTTGCCAATTGCACAGGGGCAGATAGGACAGCGCTCCAGAGGGTTAAGGTCATTGCCCAGAGGATCATGGGTTGCCCTCTCCCCTCTTTGGAAGAGCTTTATAGCTCCCGCTGCCTTAAGAAAGTTCAAAACATCCCCAAAGATCCATCTCATCCTGGGCACCCCCTTTTTTTTTGAACTATTACCATCTGGCAGATGGTACAGGATAATAAAAACAAGGACAAACAGGCTGAAAAACAGCTTCTATCCCAGGGCAGGAGCTCTTTTGAATTCTATTGTATAGTGCAGTGTTGGTGTGGTGTTGGGGGTTTCCGGTTCAATGTGTGGAGGGTGAAGGATGTGTGTTTGTGTTTATTTTCATGGTCATGATGTGCACTGAAGATAGTGTTTGATTTTGTTGTACGAGATGCAATGACAATAAAGTAAACTAAACTAAACAAAGTAATAAAATACAATAGAACAAAATCTGGAAAAATAAATAATCACCCCTCAACTCCCACCCACCCTGCCCCGACGACAGCAGATCACACGCGCCATTTGATGGGCTCTATCCGCTCTGGGCTCCCCAGGCCCGCTGGCAGAACCAGGTCTTAGCACCTTCCAGAAGAGAGCTAGAGTGGCGGCCATTTTAATCTCTGAGGGAATGATGTTCCAGAGGGAGCCACAATGTAGAAGGCCCTTCTTCTGGGTCCCACCAGGTGTATCTCCCTCGGGATGGGATCCTTGCCTCCCCGCTCTAATGGGTCAGGTAGATGTGAGCAGCAGGAGACAGTCCCTCAGATCACCTGGTCCCAAGCCACGAAGGGCTTTAATAGGTGACAACCAGCACATCTTGAATTGCACCCAGAAGCAAATCGGCAACCAGTGCAGCTCCTGTAGGAGAGAGGGTGACACACGTGCACACCGGGGTCTGCACAAAAACCATGCAGGCCGCTGCATTTTGCACCAACTGGGGCTTCCGGATGCCCTTTCAAGGGCAGCCCCATGTAGAGGACGTTGCAATAATCAAGATGGGAAACGAGTAGGCCCATTGCTGCATAACTGCCATAATTTGTTCCGGTGCTAAGCAAGGTGGTTGCTAAGTGATTTTGCCCCATTCGGCGACCTTCCTTGCCACGGTTGTTAAATGAATCACTGCCGTTGCTAAGTCAGTCAGACGGTTGTTAAGCGAATCTGGCTTACGCCGCTAATTTCGCTTGTCAAAAGGTCGCAAGAGGGGATCGCACGACCCCAGGACGCTCATAAATACGAGTCAAGTTGCCATGGAGATACTGCAATGGTCTTAAGTGCGAAAAAGGGACGTTAAGTCCCTTTTTTTCAGAGTTGTAACTTTGAACGGTCACTAAACAAACTGCTGAAACTCAAGGACAGCTGCCAAGGGAGTTTTGCTCCATTCTACGACCTTGCTTGCCACAGCTGATAAGCGAGTCACTTGGCAGCGTTCGTCAATCTGGCTTCCCTCCACTTGACTTTGCTTGTCAAGAGGTTGCAAAAAGGGCATCAAATGAACCCCTGGGATGCTGCAACCGTCATAAATACGAGTCAGTTGCCGAGCATCCGAAATTTAACGGGGATGCAACAGTCGTTAAGGGTGAAAAAACCGGTCACAATTGTTTCCAGTGCTCTGGTTGTAACTTTGGGTCACTAAACGAACGATTGTAAGTCGAGGACCACGTGTAACATCTGCAGAATCCTAAAATCCCAGGATAGGGTTGGAAAGGGACCTCGTGGGTCATCTAGCCCAACCCTTTCAACCTCTTTCCTAGGGCACTCTGCTGCACTTGCCGCCAAGCGCCACCAGGGGTCGGCAGTCTCCGCTTCTCCCTCCCTCTCAAGCGCCGCCCCTGCAGCATTCACACGACGCCAAAAGACCCCAGACGCGTGTCTCCGCTTTTCCGCACCGACCCGGGATCCCCCTTAAATCCACTCGGTACGGAAACGAAGGGAGAGCCGCGTTCACACCAACCAGGGCACTCGACTACTATTACTGGGTTCGAGGAAATATCTACGCATGCGCCACGGGAGAGTCGGTAGCCCATCGCGCAGGCGCAGAAGTTTTTTTCTTTTTCTTTTTTGAGACGGAATCCGCCGCATACAGCACCGTGCCATCCCCGTCTTCGCACAAGGCGCATGCGCAAAGCCTGGAAACTGATTGGAAAAGACAGGGGACATAGGATGATATCGCCGACCAATGGAGGATAGTTCTTCGACGGCTATTGCACGTATTCTTCTGTCCCTGCCGAGGTTTTTTGCGCATGCGCTAAGAAAAAAAAACCGAATCATTTTTAACCAGCAGGTGTCAGCAGAGAGCACTGTGACAACGCAACACAATTGAATTTGAGTTTTGCGGCACTCTACGAACCAAAGAGGGCTGGACTAGAAGACCTCCAGGGTCCCTTCCAGCTCATTCACTCTATTCATTTGTTAAGTGAATTCCTGCATATGTTAAATTAATCGAATCCATTTTTCCCGTTGATTTTGCTCTCAAAAAGGGGATCACGTGACCCCGAGGACACTCACGGGAGGCTTCAACGGTCGTTAACTGTGAAAAATGGTCCTAAGTCACATTTTTCACTGCCGTTGCAACTTTGAACGGTCACTTAACGAACTGTTGTAAGTCCTGTATTCGATTTTAATTATAAACTGCCCAGAGTTGCTTTTCAGAATGAGTTGGGTGGCATATACAAAGCAGAAAAAATAAACTATCAATTCTGTTCGCCACTCCAGGATTTGAGCCAAGGGATCACGAAGTGTAAGCCTTTCCACACTCCGAGCCCGTTTTCTGGGATTTGTTTACACTGTAAATTCTTCCTGGCTGGATTTCCTCGGGGTCTCCCATCCAAAGGAAACCTCGCAGCTGCAGCCACGCTCACAAGGGGGAAAACTGCTGTCCAAGCCACGTGTCGGCGCTGCGGTCCGGTCAAGCTATTTCTCGCAGGGGGGGGACATTGATAAAGTCTTTCGCCCAAGACAAAGAGCCGAGCTGCGACGGGACCGCGTTTCCCCCCCCCACCGCCGTCTTGGTTTAGTCCTTTCTCAGATTGGCGGAGGTCTTTGTGGGTTCGTCCAATCAGCACCCGCGTGGGGCGGCAAAGGCGGAGACCTTCAGGAGGCCAATGGGTCGTCATCGTAGGGCTGCCACGTGGGAGACGCAGCCGCTTTGAAGACGGAGGGCAGAGCCTCCGCCAATCAGCGCTCGGAAAGAGGGGGCCCTCCGCCTACGTCACGCGCGGCCGTGGCGAGCGCCCCCTCACCCCCTGAGCGAGGAAAGGCGTCTTTACGGGTCTGCGGGCCAATGAGGTGAGGGCGTCCCGACGGCCAACGGGGGGCGGGCCTCGTCGGCGAGCGGCCAATGGGCGGCGCGCTGTCAGGGGCGGCGAGGCGCGAGCCAATGGGCAGGGAGGGGAGGGGAGGGGCGCGGTGGGGAGGGGCGTGGCCGGGGCTGAGGGAGCGCGAGCGGGCGAGTCGAACTGAGGTAGCCCAGCGGGCGGGTGGGCATCGCGCAGCGGTGGAGGCCCCGCGGGGCCCACGGCAGGTAGGCAGGGACGCGGCCGCGTCTGGGCCCACCGTGGGGACTGCCAGCTCCGGGAGGGCAGAGGGCCCCGGGGCGACCCCTTTTCAGCCCGCCCAGCCAGGCTGCGTCGGACGAGGAGGGGCAGGGCTGCCTCTGGCGGCCCCCGAAACTGTGCCTGCCTCTACCTCAGCCCCTTTAAGGGGGGGTTTCAATTCCCAGAATCCCCAGCCTAGCTTGCTTTTAAGGTGGGTGGACTACAGCTCCCGGAATCCCCAGCCTACCTTGCTTTTAAGGTGGGCGGACTACAGCTCCCAGAATCCCCAGCCGAGCTTGCTTTTAAGGTGGGCGGACTACAGCTCCCAGAATCCCCAGCCGAGCTTGCTTTTAAGGTGGGCGGACTACAGCTCCCAGAATCCCCAGCCGAGCTTGCTTTTAAGGTGGGCGGACTACAGCTCCCAGAATCCCCAGCC